TCACTCCCTCCCTCTCTCTCTCTCTCTCTCTCTCTCTCTCTCTCTCTTTCTTTCTTTCTTTTTTTCTGGGAGCAGGGTGGGAGAGTTTAGAAATTTAGTCTGAAAAAACCATTGAAGGCTCAGAGTTTAGTGAGATGTTCTTGGGAACATGAAAGATGTGAGGGCAATGCAGACATAGAGGAGTGACCTACAAAGTCTTAGAGGGAAGATTGAGAGTCCTTTAAAGAATCTATTGAGGCTGTTTGTGTTATATTTTGGATCAAGACTCTGGCTTTGGTCATTGGTATTGAAGACTCAGTTGTAATTAGCAAGAGACCATTATCACTAGCGTACTGGGACAATCCATGCTGGTTATCTGGGCTTGCAAAATCGGCTATAATTAAAAAGAGACTAGCCTCAATGAGGTGACATCTTCATGTAGTTGTTTATTCATGGTTAAAACACAGAAGCTGTGGTCCATTTGTGGTCCAAAGCTGTCATCTGAAGGTGGTAATGTCTCAGATGTTATTGGTGATATGAAGCTGCAAGATTAGAGGGGTCATGGACAAGAGCTGTGGCTTGACACTATAATACAGTTCCCTAAAGAGATCCGAAGCAAAGCTTAAGTAAGGGGGCAATATCTGTTACAGTGTAAATTCCAGGACAATTGAGATGCCAAGGCTGTGAGATGACCACCAAAGATAGAAGCAGGTGCAACCTAGAGCTAACCTAAGCCTGCAAAACAAGTTGTTGATGCCATGGATGGCAGAGGCAGAGAAATAAAGGTGACTAAGCCTTTTACAAGCCAGAGAAAAAGGAGGAATCTAAGACATGGGACACTAAGCTATTTACACTGTTTGGTTTTGGGTTTTCTTTGTCTTAATTGTAACTGTACCCGTTCTTTTCTTTTGGAATAAGTATGCAATTTATTTTTTTATTTTAGAAGCACCCCCAGTTAATAGATGTTGGACTTTTAAGATGTTGGATATTTTAGAGATTCAACGTTTAAGGTGTTTTAGTGCTGTGGGATTTTTACAGTTGTTTTTTTTCTTTTCTTTTCCGTTTTTCTTTCTTTTTTTGTTTTTGTTTTTTTTTGTATTTGTTTTTGTTTTTTTGTTTTTTGCTCTTGATATAAGCTAGGGTCATCTAGGAGGGAGAAACTATAATTAAGAAAATGTTTTCAATACATTGGCCTGTAGGCAAGTGTATGAAATATAATCTTAATTCAAGATTGATGTGAGAGGGCCCATCACATTGTGGGTGTGATACCTCTATTGGGTAGTTTTGGGATGTATAAGAAAGCTCAGACATTTCTCTGTGACAGACTGTGTTTAAGACATCTAAGTCAAATAAGCCCTTTCTTCTCCAAGTTGTTTTTGGTCATGGCCTTTATCAAAGCAAGAAATTACAAACGAATCCATTATTTATTTAAAACAAAAAACATATAGTTTAAAGTGGATTCGTGAGCCAGGTATGGTGACACATACCTTTAATTCTAGCATTTAGGAGGTATACACAGGCAGAATTCTGTGAGTTCAAGGCCAGCCTGGTTTACATAGTGATTTTCAGGACAGCTAGAGCCAGATAATGAAAGACTATCTCAGAAAAGAAACAAACAGTAAAGCTTATTCTTCAGAATAAGTCCCAAGTTTATAACAACTAAGTAACTTAAAATAGAATTGAAAACAATGTACCATATTTGAATTTATAGTACTTATTATGTAAGATTATTTAAAACTTGAAGGAAAATAAAGTTTTAGAAGACTTTTTCTTTTAAAAAAATAACAAAAAAATAACAAAATGAGTTACATGGATTAAGTTTTTAATATGGCTTTATAAGGTTTTTTTGCCCAGCGTTTCTTATATGATTGCCCAACATTTCCTGCTCTGACAATGCTCAACGTATTCTAATGTACCATTAGGAAACTGGCCTCTTTCTAAATACAATCCAAATGAAAGTCAGACTTAAGGATAAAAACAGACACTGGGGCCTGTCTAAATTCAAACCTCATCTTTGCCAATCATGAGTGTTAAACTTTGGAAGTTGTATGTATTTTTTCTTGTTCATCACTCTTCTTCCACTTGAAATAGGTGAAAAAATAGTATATAAACCAAAAGACTGTCATAAGAATTAAATGACTTGTTAGTATAACTCTTAGAGCTGTACTTATTAATAGTAAATGTGCAGGAGATTGAGTTTTATTTTTCTTTTGATTTCTATACCTTTAGCAATCTATTTTTTTCCTTCCACAACATAGTTATATTTCATATATATCAAATAATGGTTAGCATGACAGTAAACATTTGCTACGGGCATCTTTCTCTTGAACCAGTCTGAACAAATCCATTTCCTTGATAACTTTAAAAGCATACAAATTTCAAATATTCATATGTTTACATAATGGCCTGACTAAATAGTATGAGCAATTACAGAGAGAATTGAAGGTATCCCTCTACCTTGTGGATTTTCTGTTTCCTTATGACCTGATGCTTGAATAGGATAAGCTTTTATCTAGAACAGTAGTTTTTATGACTCCCATCCCCAAAGGCTCCAAACACCCATTTGGGTTTTTTGGTCAAGGTCCTCTTTTCATGTGTAAATCTTTTCCACAGAGAAAAGATTTATAAGTCTTACCTCTTCTCCTTGATCCCCATCTCTGTAGACCAGTTCATAGCTGGCAATGGTATCTGATCGTGGCGGTGTCCAAGACAGCAAAATACTTGTTTCAGATTCAGGTTCTGCTTTGAAGTTTAGTGGCTGCCCTGGTACTAAAAACAAGAAGGCAAAGAACTGAGCTCACCATCATGACTAGTGTCCAGAAACTCTTCTGGTTAAGAACATATTACACTTAATGAAGAACAAGGCTCTAACATCATCTGAGATATAAGGGCCTCATTGAAGATACCTCATTTATACTTCTCAAAAGGATGAGTCATGTGACAAATACTGTCTCAGTCCGTGAGTAGTTTAATAGGCACACAATATGAAGTTGCACACAATATGAAGTAGAACTAACAAGATCATTATGTCTGTTTCAGAATTCAGTTGTAAAGACAGTAAAATTATAGATTACAAGTAATATTGTAATATATGAGTCATATAAAATATACATATAATCCCTAACTACATTTTGCATATTTATTTTTCCACCCACAAATAAGTATAGTTCTCTCCTCACATCCAGGAAAGTGAAATCTAGAAATGTCAGAAGCTACCCCCATGAAGTCTCACCAACATAGCTGCCTAAATATGACCTGAACAAGGATGATACCAATAAACATGCTAATATGAAGGGGGCAAAGCACAGGAGGCCCAAGTCCTATACAATGAACTACAAGCAAGAAAGTAAGGAATGCTGAAAGCAGGAAAAATGGTCTTCCCTAGGGAAGAACATACCGATTAGTTATCTAATACTAAATGGTCAACCCTAAAATTGAAATCATATATATATATATATATATATATATATATATATATAATCTGTAGCATTATACAGATTAATCAGGTTTCATTTATATATTTAGGAACGCACACACAGACATACATGCATGCACACACACGCACACACACACACACACATACCAACACATAAAAACAAAGAAAAAGACACTTTTAAAGAAAAAAGTGGAAAGTATGTGGAGGATTTGCAGGGTGGAAAGAGAAGAGGTAAATGTTATAATTATATTATGATCTCAAAAACTATAAAAATAAATATTTTTAAAGATGCTTAAGAGAGTCTGAAACTAAGAAGTGCTAATTACACTGAAGTTGTCAATATTACAATGGAGTAAAAAATAGTCTCTATGACTTCATGTAACATTCAGTATTATTTCCAACTATGTCATTTTGAATGAAAATGACCCCGTAGTCTCATAAGGAATGGTATATATAAAAGGATTAGGGCATGTGACCTTGTGAGAGTAGGTATGGTTTTGTTGGAAGAAGTTTATCACTGAGGTTTGGCTATGAGGTTTTGGAACCTTATGCCAGGCCTAGTTGATCTTTCTCTTCCTGATGCCTGCCAATCTGGATGTAGAGTTCTCAAGCTTCTTCTCTAGTACTATGTCTGACTGCATGCTGCATGCATCCTACCATGATGACAATGGACCAAATCTCTGAACTGTAGGCCAGACTTAATTAAATGCTTCCTTATATAGGAGTTGCTATGGTCATAATGTCTCTTCTCATAAAATCCTAACAAAGACACTAATTATGTTTAAAAAATTCTACATAGACTCTTAACAGATTCAACAGGCAATAATCACCCCTCAGAATTTTATTTTAAATACTTAAATCTTAGAAAAGAGTTAGGAATAAAGTAAAACAAAGCTTTATTAAATATAAATAGGTGCGTGTAATTATTTAAAGCATTATATTAAGTTTAATTAATTAGATTAATTAGATTAATACTAATTGATTATCTAATACCCAATGGTCAACCCTGAAATTTTATGCATAGATGTAACATTATACAAATTGATCAAGATTCATGTACATAATTTGGAACACATATAGACATGCACACACACACACACACACAGAGAGACCAACACATAACAATGAAGAAAGAGTTATTAAGTTTTAAAGCATTAGTCTAATGATTAGACTGAGTGCAAGAATAGTTATCATTCCTAGTAGCTTAGTTCTAATCTACAGCAATTTAGTAAGATAAAAAGATGTAGTCATCATCAGGAAATTATGGTAACAGAAGTCAGCTATGATTCTCATGGCAGTCATTCAGTCTACCTAACTGATTATTTGAAAGAGACACACACAAGATATAATGAAAACTTTATTCAGCCTAAAATACTTTACTAGTACTAGAAATGAAGTGTATTTTATAACAACCAAGAACAACAACAATAATATAACAAGAATAAGATAACAAGAGGCAGAAAGGAACTTCCAAAGTATTTCTATATGCATTCTTGAAAACTCACATTTTGAAGCACAAATGAAATAACATTATTCATAAATGATATGTGATAAAATATAGAAATAATGCTTTAGATATAATTTTCACAGTAAAAGAAGTCTTTGTAGTTACAGAATGTATTGTTTTTCTTTTACATGCATCTTTCTGTAACATAGTTACAAAATAAGAAGACCTTACTCTTTTTCTTAAAGGGATTTAAAGTCTATTTCTAGGAGCCAGAGCCATCAACCTCTGTGCATGCCTTGAAAAAGTGGTTCACTCATGTTTGCACTAATGCCCAGGGCCACAAATAGTCCTTGTCTGGCCCTCTCTTCTCCTCCACTTACCCCAAAGTCTGTACCATGAGATTCTCATTAATGTGATGCCTCTGGGAAGTGCTTTCTGAATAGGTTATCATTCTTTCCCAGCACCTGCCCAGTGAGTGACCTCACATAATCATTCAGACTCGAGAGACAAAGACAAAGGGGCATAAAAGATCAAGGGGCAAAGCAAAGGGCTCAGGAGAAAATAAAAGCATATGGTGACTGGCAAATGGCAAATGCATTATCTGGCAGGTAAAAGTCAAAAGCTTGGCTCATGCTACAGTGATTGCAAAGTGCCATGAGGCAGGTGGGGTACTTGTCACTGGGTTCCACTATCCTGAAGATAAAAGGGTTTCTTGCTGTGACATGCAAACACATGAATATGTGGTAGTCACTAATTCTTCTATACTTGTATTGCTTATTTCTTTCCCCATTTCCACCAATCTGTGGAATAAAGAAATCTGTGTTAACCTGTAACTCAAGCCAAAACTGAAACCCAGTTCAGATTCCAAGAAGTAGAAATAAAGACAATTCCAAAGGGGCTAAGGACTAGTCACTAGGGTAAGGATTTGTTCCCTGCCTAAGGCTAGTAAGTTGACACTGACTGAAACCATCTTAGAAACCTAATTAACTTTTGCTTACTTACAGTCCTTGGCTTTTGCTTTTAATTTATCTTTCCTGTATTCCCATTTGGTCTCAAGGTTTCATTCTTGTTTAGTGACACATCTTCAACTGATCTAATTCTGTTTGGTTCTGTAAAAAGCCCTTACTGCTAAATAATAAATTGAATAGGAACATCAACATCCCACAGGGGACAGCTTTCTTTTCTTTTGTAACCTTTGGACAATGCTAGGGTTGGCTAGATGACTTAATGGAAAGTCTTGTCATGTAATAGGCAAGAAGGTTTTCTTCCTTTTCATTTACAGACTCATTGTGAAGTGATTTTGGGGGCAGGGGTAAGCACATTTTTAAACTTGCAGTAGAGATCTAAATGCCTCAGATAAGAGGTGAACACATAGATGAGTAAGAAAACTCTGTGGGAGCTTTGGACCACAGAAAAGCACATATGTACTAGAAGAGAGACACTGGGTCTAACTAAGCATCAGCAAATTGATACCTTGTGGATTGAGTGCCTAGCCATGCTCAATACACTTGTATTTCTTTTTTTTTCTTGTTCAAAATATGTTCAGAAGATATTGTTAATATATTTTCTAAATAAAACACTTTTGAATTCAATGATTGAAAAATGTTCAATTCAAAGACAAAATACATAAGGCAAAAATGAAATGAATATATATATATATATATATATATATATATATATATATATATATAAACTATATGTTGTCCTTTCATTCTGTCATCCTCATCAATAGCTTACGGATCCCAAGAGTCAAACCAAGAGTCAAACTTCCTTGGAAATTGAGGGAAGAAATAAGGGCACCCTTTCTGGGAGTTCAGTTTTTAAATTAGAAACAACCAACATGAGTTGAAGATTCATACAAAAAAACAAACACTGCTAAGAAATAAATGAATGTACCTTTAAGTTCCCAAATATATTAAGTCTTAATGATCATTATAAAAATATATAGGGTGCGGTCTGTAGAGGTGCCTCAGCCATTGAGAGCACTAACTGCTCTTCCAGAGGTTTTGAGTTCAATTCCCAGAAACCACATGGTGGCTCACAACCATCTGTAATGGATCCAATGCCCTCTTCTGGTGTGTATGAAGACAGTGAGTATGAAGACATGGATAAATAAATAAATAATTCTTAAAAACATATACACAGAAATATTTTAAGGACACTCAATATTAACATATTTGCTTTCTTCAAACTACCCAGAAATAAACAATATTTTATCACCTATCAATTGATATTGCATATCAAATTTTGTTTCAGAAGACCTGTTTCACACCTATCTTAGGTTTTACTGCTGTGAATAGGCACCATGACCACAACAACTCTTATAAGGACAACATTTAATTGGGGCTGGCTTTCAGGTTCAGAGGTTCAGTTCATTATAATCAAGGTGGGAGCATGGCAACATCTAGGAAGCATGGTGCAGGAGGAGCTGAGAGTTCTACATTTTCATCTGAAGGCTGCTAGCAGAATACTGGCTTCCAGGAATCCAATATTGATTTTAAGACACAGGATGAAGGTCTTAAAGCCCACACCCTCAGTGAAAACCTACTCCAACAAGGCCACACCTTCTAATAGTGACACTCCCTGGGTCAAGCATATACAAACCATCACATTCTACTCCCTGGCCCCCATAGGCTTCTTCAAACATATGAGTCTATGGAGGCCATACCTAAACATAGCATAATGCAAAATAAATTTAGTTCAACTTCAAAGGTCCCTATAGTGTATAGCAGTCTCGACAATGTTAAAAGTCCAAACTTCAAGGACATTTGTGAGATTTAGCCATCACTTAATTGTAATCCCCAAAGCAAGACAGGAAACCAACTGGGCAAACTCCAAACTTTGCATCTCCATGTCTTATTCCAAGGTGGTCTTCAGATCTCCAAC